TTTTGACATCCACATCTACAGCAATGTCTCCAGGGAGACATCAAGAAAAGAATGGGAAAGCTCATGAAACTGTGCGCCCATGACAGACAGAAGCTAGGTATTGATTTTTTTCCCACTTCTCCTGCAAGATCAATTGAGAAACTTAAGAGAGATTGTGAAATTAGGGTGACTAAAGTAGTCAATGGTTATTTCTAGAGTATAAATCCTAAATAGATTATTAATGCATTTTTCCGTAATTATCAACATAAACGTAATAGATTTAACTTTTAAACTGATCAAAACAGCTAATATTATGAGTTTTCAAACAATCTAAATGCTAAATTTGCCATTCGAATTAAATAAATAAACAAGAAAGAAGTTGTACATATAAATTTCCTTTGCCAACTTAAGCATTAAGGATTCTCATATTCCAGATAACATTGGCATTCAATATTCTCAACTACTCTTAATTTTCTTGGGTTTGAAAAAAGGTACCTATTATAAAGCAAATCGAAATCCAATTTTGTTTCTTTATTTATACACTTTATTAATAGGAATGTCAACGGGTCAAGTTGGATCAGAGTTTTTATCAATCCGATCTGATTCGAAAAATATGTATTATCCGTCTAAATTTGACCTATTCCGGAAATTATATATCCTCCAGGTCCGAAAAATCTATATCCTCCACCAAAATCTAACCCGACCCAAAAAATCTATAATGATTTAATTAAAATAATAATAATTTTAAAAAAATTACATTATTATCCTCGAGTCCGTCATTATTTTTTCCCTCCACGTAAATTTTCTTTTATTTGACAAAATATTTGTCGGTAGTTTTCACGTAAATTTTCTTTTATTTGTTGATATCAATTACAGAAATAAAATCCCCAAAATTTAATCACCCGTATATTAAATCTAATCGGGAAAATCATCATGAACAACATATATAGCATGAGGAGCTCCCTATATAATTCACTTATTTTGCTGCTTCAAATCCTTGTAAAACCTGTTGATGAAATCCTCGGCGGCCTTGTCCACGTAGTCATTCTCTTCATCCACGTCCCTTAAAGGAAAAGGCGTGTCCGTTATTCTGAGTTGCCTCGCCAACGGAGTTTGTCCGAACCCTGGCAACATAGGAGAAGAGGCCACCACGTTGTTGTAGCTGTCGTTCTTGTTGAGAATCTCCAAGGCAGCCTTAACGGCGTTCATGGTGGCCATGTCGTCGTCGGGGGTAGGAGGCGCATGGGTGCAGGCGAAGAAATGATGATAGTAGTTGTTAATGCCGTTCTTCTTGGCGGCGATGTTGAAAGGGAAGGTGTAGTTCGGGGTGTTGCTGCAGCTGAACTCGTACTCACTGGCCGCCGTGGAAGATGTTGAGACCTGGCGGTTGTTGTTGTTGTGGTGGTGGAACATGAGGTTGTCGATGGCTTTGGCACCGGCGATCTTGCCGCGTTCAAGCAGCATGTTGAGATCAACCATGAGTTTTCTCTTGGATACAATTCCTTTTCTCATCATGAAGAGGACTGCTTTTACAATGTTCCACACTCTTTTGATCGTCGCTGGTGTATTTTGTTCCATTTTCTTTCGCCTTTGCCTTTACTGTTTCTCTCTTTGTGACTTGAAGCAAGAGGAAATTGGTTGTCGTTTGGGTTCGAGGGAAAGAGGAGAAGGAGTATATAGGAAATACACAAATTTGCTTAAACGTGGGTACAACCTAGGTTTTATTACGTCCGTCAAGTACATGATTTTTTTTAGATTTTACGAACCTTTTAACTATTTTATCCACAATTTGAATGAAGTGATTTTTTTATATATATATAATAATTTAAAATATAATTTAAAAAATTATTAGTGAAATGATAAAATTATGTATTTGAATATATTTATACATGTGTTCAAATCTTTGAATAATAAATTTTATTTTTTTATTTAATTATGACCCGTAAAGTATAAAATTATTGAAATGTTTTATAAAAAAATAATTTTAAATAAAATACTTTAATAATTTTCGAATAAATTATGACTAGATTAATTAACGATGTTAATTGTTATCAGAACATTTATTAGTAAATATAAATATATAATTACAATAATTATACTTAATAATCAATTAATATAATCATAAAATTATAAAAATTACTCATTAATAATTTTATCAACGCAAGAATTCTTTAAAAAAAATAATTATTATCAACTAGAACTTTTAAATACATTTTTCACGCAATAACCAAAGGGTGCACTGTTTATGATGATGTTTTGTGTTACCTTTATGGTTTAAGTATTTTCCTTTACAAATCATATTTGCTTTATTCAACCAGAACTGGTAATAATTATGTGGCGAGCTGAGAAGTACCATCTATGCAAGGGTATATCAATGGGTTCTACGAACTATTTGTATATCATCTGTTTGATAAGTTTAAAAATAAAATAATAATAATAATAATATATTTATTTAACACTTAAAGGTATATGTTCATTAATTCAAAAAATATTGACATTGAGTAATAATATGTTCTCAAATTATATATTCATTTTACTTTAAGTACCTAATTTTTTGTATCAAATTAAATCTTAAACTATTACAGTTAATCATGTTTAGTCTTTATCGTTTTTTTTTTTGCTTAAAAAGAACTTTCGGCCAATAAGATGTTTATAAAATTAGGTACTTCTTTTGATAAAAAATAGTTTAGGGGATTAAATTATTAATTAAATATTTGGCTAGAATTTGATTTTATGGAGCCCTAGAAACAAAAGTTTTGAGGCTATCAACCTAATCAAGAGATAAGATTCGGTAAACTACACTCATAGAGTTTTCACTTCAATTATCCAACTTTTAAAATTTATATTATATTAATTAAAATTTTCCATTACAATTATTATCGATAAAATATATTAATGTGACATGTTAATTTAAAAAAAAAAACTCTAATTTTCCAAATTAAAAACTGCTAAAAAGATATTTCCCTTGTTAATAGAATAGTCGTAGGTCAATTTCAAAGTTGAAAAATCTTTATTTGACAAAGAGATTAACATATTTTGATTTCAAGTTGATCTGATAGTTAACAATAATAGATTAAAATTTTTAAACTTTTAATTTTTATTAGATCTTCACTTCATTTCGTCGTCGTCTCAGCCGTTGTTGGATGATTTCTCTCTTTCTTTCTTTCGATTATAAGATACTGCCACCGTCTCACTAAAGTGTTCATTATTGAATTTTAAAAAGTCAAATTTTTTAAACTTTGACCTTGATTATTTTAAGTATTTTATAAATATATATTTGAAAACTACTTGATTTAAGGATTTTAAAAATATATTTTTTCATATTTTTATCAACAATAAATCAAAGTTAAAAGAATTTGACAAAAAAAATCAACAGTAGATAGATTTAATGGGACAAAGGGAGTATCATTATTGAAAATATTTTATCTTACAAAGTTTATACATATTCAAGATGCTTATAACCTAACCCCAATCCAAATATACTATCCAAAGTCCACATCCAAATAACTATCATCCAAATCCAAAATACAATCATACCTCCAGCCTAATCCAAAGACATTAAATAAATAAGTTTGTAAATTAACTCAAGTCCACTTAAAAAATTAAATTAGAATTTTGTATACAACTTATTAATTTTATTTCATTTTATTGTTTAAAATAAATATCAATAGTGTAATTTATTACAATAAACTTTGAATAGAATTATATAATATTTATAAATAATTTTAATAAAATAATTATCATTCATTTTTATTTACAAATTTGGTCTTCTTCGGTTTTTAAATCTAATATAGTTGTAGTTCAAATTTCTCGAATTTATTTTTTTTTAAATTTAAATCATTTACTAGTAAAGTCTCGTTTAGTGTCACTTTTAGCTAAAAACCCCGTTTTGATTAAAAAAATACCAAACGAGTAAAAAATAAAATAAAAAACTACAGTGGAAACAGTAAATTCAAACCGACCACAAAAGCTAGGTTTTTGTAGTTTTTTTTATTTATCAACTTTTCATATGGAATCAAATTAAATCACAAACCTAATTAAGATGAGGGTGGAGGAGTTTGCATTTCTACAAATATAACAAAATGAGGATGGCGACGCCACAAACCTAATGAAATTAAGTCACATTCATTATAATCAATTTCATAGCATCTCATTGTCATAATCCACATGTTGCTGCACATTTACAACCGTGCAAGTTTTGGACCTTCAACTACCTTTCTTCCTCTCTTACCGTCTTTGATTCCTGTGTGGTTATCAATTAGAAACAAGTATGTTCGTATTTGATTATTTCTAAAATTATAATCGTATTTAAGCCTTTTATGTTCATCACGTTTTGATTTTATCCCCTTTTAGCTTGCTTCTCTCGTGAGTCGTTAAGCTCTGGGGTTGTCCTTCAAAAGTATAAGTGGTTGGGCTATAAGATGCAAATATGGCTAAAGTTCTATATTTTGCATGCTTTATATAAACAATTTATTTCAATTTAATTTTTAAAGCTTAACAAAGATCAATTTTTCAATAAACTAAATTATGTATTTTTCATGCATGTAGATTTTGATTTGTATGTATATAATTTTGGAATAACAAATTATTTCAAATACAGCTTAATTTTTGAAGTTTGTATGCCCCACCTACATCTAAGTAAGTAGGGTTTTATTTTCATTTCTTCAAAAAGCTAGAAAGAACATAAAAGCTTCATATTAATTACATCACCCGAAGATCAACTGCCCTAAATGGAAGAGTAGTGGTGAAGACGAACACCGAAAAAATATCTTTGAAACTTTTCCATGACATGACAATGATGGCTCTTCCCTCTAGATTAAGAAAAAAAATCAGCTAGCTTTTAAACCCAAAAGTTGAAGGCAAGTTGCCATTTCTTGAAAAATCTAGCATGTTTCTGAGCCGATAGTCGACATGTGAGTCTACACATAAATGTCACTTGTAAGGTACAAAAAGAAAGGGTTCGGTTCGGTTCGGACATTATATAAATAACCTAGTTTCAAGCGTTTAACTCTCTATCAACCGATCATTTGAGTTTGACAAAGTATCTTCTCTAAGGTTCTTCAGTTCAACTAAAGCTTCAATCCTCAGTTTCATGCCAAGTTTCCATTAAAATGGCACCACATGGAGATGCTATTACTACTAGCACTTACGCAAACAACTTCCCATTGCCACCTAAACTCTCCAAGGACAGCCTCCACCGGACCGTATCCGATATCACTTTCCAAGTGAGCAAGGAAGTGCTCGATAACTACAAAGAAACATCCGCAACGTGTGAGAACCAGCTGCCGCCTATATCCGAAGTGGAAGATGCAAAGTTCGAGTGTTGCGGGATGAGCGAAGAGTACACCCCGGAATACATCGAGCGAATCCGCAACAAGTTCTTGGGGAAATGGATATGCGGACTGTGTGCGGAGGCGGTGAAATAAGAGATGGAGAAAAACGGAGGGAAGATAGAGGAAGGCTTGAGCGCACATATGAACACATGTGCTAGGTTTAACAAGATTGGGAGGGCTTATCCAGCTCTGTTGACAGCTGAAGCCATGAGGTAGATTTTGAGGAAGAGTTCGAGAGATGCGAAAAGTCTTAGGGCAAAATCTATTTGCCCTAGGGACAGATCAGGTACTCAGAAGAATGGTGGGATTGCCAGAAGTACCAGTTGCATTCCAGCAATTACAAGGGGCATCAACAATCTAAATGCTCCAAACTGATGAGATGAGATGAGAAGCGAAGAGAAGAGAAGAGAAGAGAAGAGGCCAACCCCATCATAATGGTCAATAATATTTTTATTAACCTATTTTTTTCCTCCCTTTGTGTGGGCCAAACCTTTTATTAACTCGGTAGTTTTCTTTTTGGGTTTGGTCCAATTATTGTTATTAATTTGCTAATACAGGTCACTGACCTACATGTAACCAAAAGCTTAAACCACCTTTCCGCTAAGTGGGTATATAGCTGGGTTTTTCTAGGGATGCTCCAAATGCTTTTTTCGAATCCCTTTTCCTCCAACACACGAACATTCTGCTTGTGTTGCATGGTAACTTCTTTCGAGTAAAAACAGCTAGGTCCTGATGTTAAACAGTATTTGTGGAAGGGTCGGCGTCCTCTGCTCCTCCATTTTACTGATTTTAAGTTTGTATCCCATTTCCATGTATTAAATCCATATACATCAATAAATGAACCATATTATTTTAAGTACCATTTTTTTCTTGTATGGTAGAATACCGGCGATACATTACTAATGTGTCTTGAAATAAACATAGAAGATACCATTTTTTAAATAAAGGAAAAAGGAAATAGGAGTAATAATAAAAGGCTAATTTTCATCCGTAACTTTTGGACCGACTTTATCCGAAAACCAACCGTCGGTGAATCATATCAGATTTTGAACGGGTGTTCTCTCCATCAGATCAATACAGTTGGCACATGGCATGGCTTCACAACCAACTTTCGAGTTAGTAAATTGATTGGCTAACATTTTCAAGGTCTTCAACCATCCAACAATACTTAACAGTTGAAACGTGGCCCTCGAAGACCAAACATTGGTGGTCCACGGTCCTTTCAATGGACTTTGTTGTCACTAGAAAAAAAAACTAGAACACGTTGTATGTGTAGTGTCTGGTTCACAGTCGAGACCAAAGCAATCAGATCGAACCTAACTGAACTTTCTAAAATCCTGAATAGCACAAATATAGTTTCACACCCACAGTACACCAACTGATTCGAGCATAAAATACTCATTACATTAAAAGTACGGAGGAATAACAGACCTGAAGATTTAACATAAGGGGTTTTTGCCACTACACAATCAAACCAACGAAACATTGTCCGATAATTTTGTCTCACCACGAGGGTGCAAAAGTTTAGACAAAAGACCAATTGATAAACATAAAGCAGATGCAATGAGCATTCTCTTCTTCATTCAACACTTTCCAAGCTACTGCTCTCTCATATGAAACTGGTCTTCCCATGCTTGACAAACATATTCCACCTTGTAGACAAGCAAATCCCTAACACCACAAAATAAAACAACTCCGTAAAATCTAGCTATCCATTAATTGGGTTTTTGTATTTAAGGATGATCTGTCAGGATCAAAATCAGAATGAAATGCTAGACCTGTCGCATTATCTGTGGGAATTCCGTGCAGAGAGACTTTCGTCCATGTTCATCAAATATCTTCTCCAAAGTTAAGTCCTGCAGAGCAACCAGGGTTGTCTCCAACATGTCTAGACCAGCCTGATTTGCGAATGTAAAAACGGGCAATGCCTGCAGAAACATCTATTAGTTTTAGATATAAAAAAAAAAGTCTTACAGAAAACAACACAAAGGTATGAAATGGAGGAAATATGTACTTCACACATACCTTAAGAGAGCAGCACATGATAGCTTCCGAGTGATGCCACAAGGTCTTGAGAACAGATTCACTCCCTTCAGTGTTGGATTTGAGCAACTCAACGCCCATGTAGACCCTGCAAAATTATTAACAAATCATACCTTGTTCAAAATATTCCCACAATTGTTACTATCACAAATGCAACGTTTTATGAATGCATGGTACAAGATATCAATGCAACAGTAGACAACAAATTCAACAAGTCAGATTTTCAAATCTCTCGTCACAAAGGGTAAAAGCATTAAAGACCAAATGATAGGTATCCCCCATTTGACACTACATGAACGATCATGTTTCTTCTGCTACCCTTTCATAGTTCAGGCAAATAGCCTGTTGAGGTTGAATCCAGTTTTCCAACTCCATATCAAAATAATATTTCAAGGAATAAAATACATCCCAGAAAGATGAGGCAGGGTGACGTACCTATAACTCTGACAGATCAAACGTGCAAGAGTCTGTGCTTCAGGAGTACCTAGTGGGGTTCGGAGACCAGCTTGTGAACTTAAATATGATGGAGAAAGTGCCAATGCCACCCTCTGAACTGATGATATAATGCTACGAACATATTGTCGGGCCATAGATGCTACATGTTCTTGAAGGTGGCTCTCAAAAGCAAACTCGAATGCTATGGTCATCACAGATCTCACGCAGCCAGCACCAGCAGAACAATCATTAGATGCTTTATTTCCAGCTGGCCCAATCTCAAGAGCAGAAGCTAGGTCAAGAGTGCGATTTGGACTAGAGGCTTCCTGCATCACTTTCCGGGGCTTATTAAGAAACTTCACAAAAGATGAAGGAAAAGAAAGAAAAGCACCGACTCATCATAATAGAAAGAGTCTAACCTTCCCAGAATCGAGAGGAATGATACGGAAACCAGAAGGTAAAAGAGGTGCATCATCAGCAAAAGAAGCATCTATGGGAGCAAATATAAGCTCAGCACAGGTGCCCACAGCATTTTCATCCATTCCACTGCATAGCTATAAAACAATAGCACCGTAAAGTGAATTATGCAAACATAGGTCTTGAAAATAACAAAGAGAACATGGTCACATAACAAGTAGAGTGAAAACAACGATACTTACTTGCAGGAGAAAAACATCTCTCGCCATTAGTACATCTTCAGGAGATTGCGTAATTCCCTCCAATTTAATCACCTCTAAGGACTAATAATAGTATAAAAATGGTCACATAACATTACTAAACATAAGTAAAACCCAAATGGCAAAATCATCATGGCAGAAAGTTCAAAATTTGAAACTAATAGCATTTTAAGTGATATAAATTCAATATTCCTACCTCTTCATGTTCAATAGTATGTGCCAGGGGAAGTATAACTTGACTGCCAAAACCTCCTACTCGAGATCCTCGTAGGCTACAGGGACCAACATTAACAACTGCAGCTGAGTAGGCATCAATGCTGCAGTCAGCCCATTCTGATCTGTGTTCCCGTAGGAAACGAAGTAGGATTGCTGGAGGAACATTCTAAAAGAGACACCAAAGAGCAAAATATATATCAACAAAATAAAGACATGTCAATATGATAATTGCAACTATGCAGATTCTAGAAATATTCAGATAATAGGATGACTTTCAGTTTTGACAGAGATGGGAGGTGGGGAAAGAAAAAGCCCTCTATAGTAAGCATCGCCAAGTAGTTCATCAGAAACATATAAAGCATCCTCACCTGTAAAAGCATTGAGGCTACAGCACATAAGACTGAATTGCTGACAGATGGAAACCCATTAGCAAATGAAAGATTGAGGCCCATTAGCTTGTCAGGAGATGAGTTCACAAGTATAGTAACATCATCCATGCCATCGTTTCCCATCATTGACCACCCCTCATCAGTGAAACCATTGACAGCGTCATTAAAACCCCTGTTACGAATCGTTTAAATGGCATATAATTTTAACAGGCAGAAAATACTTTATGACAAGAACTTCGAAACTAACCTGCTCAACCTCTGGCTAAGTGCCCGTAAGGCTGCTGGTCGTCGACCCCAGCCAGTCACATTAGGTTGAGAAACCTCTTGAGCTATCTGCCTCAGTTGCCGTAAAGCCTAAAGGAAAATTAGAAAAAAAAAATGTATATCTTCACCGCTTTTCTAAAGCTGCAGCTATGGTAATCATGAATATACAAGCCTTCCTCCAAACAGTTTGAGATTTTCATGACACCAAAAGGAGAAGGGGAAAAATACATAAATGCCAACTGTAAAACCAATTTTACCGCCATCGTCGTTTTCTGAGCAAGCACTGTTGATGATTCATAAAGAGGGCGCAACACTTCTGGCACACTCCAAGGCTGGTTGATGAGAAACATTCCAATTAAGTTTAGCTAATACATATAGTTTAAAACATTGAAGACAATTTACATAAAAATAGAAAAGCATACCTCCAAATCCATATGATCCACAATGTGTATGATTGAAACACCCCCTTCACAAGGGCGAATAAGGTATCCACTCGCAAACATTTCTGCTCTCACAAAATTCTGCACTGGAAGCATGCTTGGGCCATTTTGAGTATTTTTCAGAGATCTCTCACATACCTAAGCAATGCAAAAGGCATTTATGAAAGAGATTTTATTTATGAGATAAAAGGTAGGTGTGCCTGTGCCATTCATTGTATTATATCCAAAATAAACCAACTTATTCACATACCACGAGGCTTCCATCTTCTAGAACAGAAGTATAACGCAACAACCAGAAGTCGCGAGAAGGCGCCAATGTCGTTGGCGCATAGAGCTATATACAAAAAATGTGAAGTAATAATTAAACAAAGAACCAACAAAGTCTTGCAAACACAACAGAGTAGTGATCCCTCACCTGCATGTACAGCAACTCAATGGTCCCACCATTGGCAGTAGGCAGCACATTCAAAACATCCACAGCTCGGCAATCGCGGAACCACGAAGGCCTATCCTTGAGGAGTTCTGCAACCTGGAAGGAGCATAATTGTTTGAACTGTAAAGTTTAACTTCAATGTGAAGAAGACATTCTAACAGGCTACAAAGAGAATTAGACTTACCCTTGTAGGTTCAAGACCCACAAGGCCGCAGGCACGTGCTGCCACTCCAGGGCAACCATGAGAAATAGCAACGATTCCTATGGAATCCGGACCAGGCTGTTCAAGTAAAAAAGGAGATACAGAGAATAGATTAAAAACCAAATGCTGCTTAACGAAGCAATTGCATTCTAACTCAAAATTTACCCAGAAAGTTACAATTCAGGAAAGGCACGGCAAACCATTAAAGAATAAAATAAGTCCTCGGGAAGGTTTGGGATTATTGAAAATATTAGGGGGAGGTCAGGATATACCTTCATTCCAGGCATTTGGACCCACTCTACAGCAGTTCCAGTGGCCTTTGAAAGAAACTCTGCTAAAGTTTCTTCTGCAATGGACAACAGCCTGGAAAAGAATTACAAGTATCAGTTTTTTTTATAAGAATAGAATGTCTCATTAAAAATCCTCTTCATACTTCTCGGCATACAACTAGGTATGCCAATAGGTAGCGAAAGGAGGAAGCACAATGAAAGAAATGGATCAAACCCTGCAGGACTAGCATCTCTAGGAGGATTCTGCTGTGTCACACGGTGTTGACCACTTGTCATCGCCGATTCACAGCTAGGATCTTTGGTTGCAAGGGTCGCCTGCAAGTAGACAATCCAATCTTTTTCTCTGAATTTCCATGTAAATAAATTCATTTACAGTACATCAATGCAAATTCAGTACCGATTTAGTTGAATTGGCAAACAGTTAAATATCTAGTTTTCTTGTTGTACTTAAACAAAATAGATGTAAAGAAAAAATTACAGCTAGAAGCAACCACCCAGAAGCTAAGACAGAGAGCATAAATTCTCACATTCTGAGTATGCTGACGAAAGCAACCATTCTCATACACCAGCTGTGAGACCTGATTCTGCAACCTATCATTCTCCTCCATCAAAAGCTTGTTCATTGCTGTCAGCTTCCTATTCACAGCTTGAAAGCGTGATGTCTCTTTCCTCTGCTTCTCTCTACATCTGACAAATCCAAACATACATAATAACGTGCATTATTAATTTTAATAGTTTCCACCTGAAAAAAAATTCTGACCAACCAAGAACAAAACAAATACTAAAAATCCATATTTCACTAGTTGCTTATATTCGTTTCTTGAATCATTATCAATAAAACAGACTACAAGTTCATTGAAACACATAAGTTGCACTAAGCAATTGCACCAAAAGCAAACCTTCTATTTGGAACCAAACTTTGATCTGTTTTGGCTCAATGTTGGAGAGAATAGAGCACTCTCTAATCAGCTGCTTCCGACGAATCGAACTGGGTTTAGGGCATTCATGATACAGCCTTTCAAGGGCCTCGACCTGCTCAGGTGTGTACCTTACATATTTCCCATTATCCAAGCTCCCAGGTTTACCATCCTTGCAGGACATTGCCATCTTTCAAACTTCACCCTTGAAATTTCACAGCTACCAAAAAAAACCCAAATAGCCGACCTTTCCTAATACCGCACGAACTTTTGCAGTTCCTTTTCCTCAAACCGCGAGTAACTTCACAAACCACAAAACTCAATCTAATAACCAAAGTTCACACTTTTGAAAAAAACCCAGCAAGAAGAACCAAGGAGAAGAAGGGTTTTTTTTGCTTTGTCTCTATCTTCCTTGGCTCATAGTTTGGAAACTAAGAGGGCACAAATGGATTTTCTTCTTCTTTTGCTTTCAACTAGATTTTCCACACAAGTACCTGAATCTTGAGACTACGGAATTGTTCAATGCTTTACTGTGAAATGTTAGATATGCAGAAGAGAAATAAAGAGGACAAGAAGAATAAAACCCAACAAGGGACAACTATATCCTGATTGGAGATAGATTTATACTTGGATCGGAGCCTCTAAACCCAAATAACCGATCTGATTCACCCAACCATTTCTTTTCAGCAAACAAAAATTAAAAAACTTTGGCCTAGGAGAGTTAACAATTCCAATCATCCAACCTTTCGATATTGAGCCACCAAGATGCCACCTTTAAAATTAAACGGACCTTAAAAAAACGCAAAAGAAACGTTTCCAGCTCGACTTTTCTCAGGATTCAAAGCAGCCTTTTTTCTCTCTCTATCTCTCTTCGTGAAAAACAGAGATTTATCCAGCTCAAACCCAAAGAACCACCTTCACGGCACCGCTTCACCGGTCTCTATTTCGGGCAAGACCCAAATCGTCCCTAACCTCTGGAACATAGTTTATTTCTTTCCGGTGATTCATCAACCAAATACCATAGCTTTACTCTTCACCATTAGAATTTTTCTTTTCGAACAAAAAAGATTTACAAAACACAACCGAACCAGATTAAGAAAACATAAGAGAACAGTAGAAGAATTGTTGTTGATAAAATGGTTATGGTGGGCGTCCGAAAGGCAAAAAAAAGTAAGAATGGGCAGACAGAGAGAGAGAGAGTAGTGCTTTGATGGGCTATTGCTTTAGCTTTGAGGGTTTTATTTTATTTTCAACTCATTATAGTTTGGTATTTATATATTTGGTTCTTACATCTGCAAAGATTTTCATTGGTTCGTCACTTCTTTTGGCTTCATCACTGTGAAGTGAAAACAAAACATAGGAAGAGAGGGGAGAGATCTACTTCACTGTGCATAACAGCAGACCAACGGCGGTAAAGTATGAGATTTATTTTTTATATTCTTATTTTGATTTGTTTTATAAATCAATTGTCCTGTTTGCCCTCCCCTTTGCTTCAAACACAATGCTTAAATACTCTCCTCTAATTATAACCTCTTTTGTCAGGAGATTTGATTGCGATTACTCTTTTAACCCTTTGCCTTAAAAATACGATATGACGATAAATGGCTCTTTCTATAAATAATTTGACAAATGATGAAAATAATGGTTTGAAAAATATATATATATAGAATGTTGGAGAATATTTTTTAATTAGGGCGAAATAAATAATTTAAAAAGAAAGAATATCGTATATGGTTTTTAAGAAAATATACAAAAAACATGTTACGTTTTCTCAATTATTATTATATAAAATTGACGTTCAAATTATATGCAGTTTAGGATAGATGTTCAATCTTTTAAGTGTTTTTGTAAAGCACGAAAACAATTCGGTCATTTTTCTTCTGATATTGTTTATTTTTTTGACAGTGATAGTTTTATAAATATATTTTAAGGTCAACATATATTAATAATAAGATAATTAAATAAAAATTTAAAATAAACTTCATCAATAAATAAATGATTAATATAAAATTATTATATTTCAAAATAAACACGTATCCACGTATAAAAACATTACCTCCGCCACGTGGAACTGTAAAGACGAGGATCTTGGTATTTCTTTTATTTATTTTTCTTATGGAATTCAAAGCTTTAGTTGTCGAAATTTCTCTTCGTAATGATCTCAAACGCCATAATGTTACAACGACGTCGTTAATGAATATAGTACAAAAATTTAATTCCAATATATAATTTACTCACGCGATAAACAATTTGCTCATTATAATATTATATTTTTAAAAAAATCACATTCTCATGCAAACTTTAAATTTTTAATTGGTTTCAATAAAATACTCGTATAAGTCGGAAGCATAAAAAAGGAGAGGGGAGTGGCAAAAGCGTTAAATAATAAAAAGATGGGGGAAATGGGTATATACAAAATTAAGAAGAAGAAAAATACAATGGTAAGAGATAAGTGTAGACATCATGATGAGATTTTTGCATGCGTCTCGATTTCCAACTCTCTCTTTTATTCAAGACTCCCTGGCCCCATTCTCTCTTTTATTCAAGACTCCTAGCCACCATTCTCTCTTTATCAAGATTTCTATATATTTATGTTCGTTGTTTAATTTAATATAATAAATAAATGAATACGAACATAAACGAACGAATTTTTATTATTTGTGTTTGTTCATTAAAGAATGTAGCTTATTTGTATTCGTTTATGTTCGTTCATTTAAATGATAAACGAATACAAATGAACGAACATAAAGAAACGGATGTAAACGAACATAAACGAACACAATAAATGAACGTAAACGAACACAAATGAACGAACGTAAACGAACACAATAAATGAACGTAAACGAACATAAATGAAATAGATTTTTTTTATTCCTTATGATTATTATATATTTAATTGTTTTGAGTTTTTATATTTGTATTTAAAATAAATGAATGTAAACGAACATAATAATTATTGGAATTTAATATTTTAATAGGTATAGAGAGAGATTGAGCTAAACATAAATGAACGCACATAAACGAACGAACATAAATGAACGAATATAAACGAACGAACATAAACGAGCATATTACCGAACATTCACGAACGCAAATGAACGAACGAGCCCTTTGTTCATGTTCGTTCATTAATAATGAACACAAAAATTATTATTCGTTCGTTTAATAAAAACGAATTTCCCGTCAAACGATTATTCTGTTTGCTTAATTTCCGTTCGTTTACATGCATACCCTACTTACGATTCTTCTCGATAATAGCATTACGACTATACGAAACATTGAAGCTTATAATTTCATTACTACTTTATTATCTAAATCAATATTTTATAAACAAATACATTTCATCGGTTTATTTAACTATTTTTTTATTTTCTCAGATTTCATTCCACTAAATTTTATTTTCATTTCCTCGAGTAATTATGATTAAATATATAATTTATTTAAAAATAATATATATATATATATATATATATATATATATAATTATGGATAAGTATAATATAATATATATCCAAAGATAATTATTAATCATTTGATATTAAACGCTCGTATCTCTAAAATTTATGGTACTTGAATTCGATACCTCAATAAATAACAACAAGGTTTAATGCCCAAATAAGTGTTCAAACTATACATTTGTGTCAAATAAGTGTCTACTTTTTTTTACTCATTCTAATATCTAACGGTATAAACGTTAGCACTTTAGGTGTCTGGGCTGTCAACAACATTAATTTTTCCCTATTATGTGACATGTGTCACAATCAAG